AAGCGACAGACATACCGCTTCTTTGAAGATCGTAAACGCATTCGAATGGCCTCTATTACCACAGCAAAGCAACGTTCATTTCAAGTTTATATCTGTTCCGCCAGGCCGAGCAGAGAACCCACCCGTGAGCGACTAAACGCCCAGGTCGAACTCGCAGTAAGCCGCGCAGATGACCTCCCCTCTCTGCTCTAGGTACCAGTCACCTTCTTCAAACACTGCAGAAGCCAATCTCAAGTGTGAAGAAAATGTTGAGTTTCAGTTCCTGGGAGGTCATATCCCTGTAGGCCGTAAAACAAGTTCGATTGCTGGATGCGAGAACGAGCGCCCAAGAAAAAAGAAGGGCATTATCGACGTGGGCCACGCGCGTGTCGGAGGACCACGGGACGTTCTACGCGGAAATTTGCTGTATTTGGACCATTCTAGAAGGATTCGTGTCAAAATAACAATTGAACGATTGAACACAAGCTTCACCCCTCATGAAGGCATGGCGGAAAAGTCTCAAGAAAGAGGTTTCTATAGCGATACGCTGACCTTCGCAGGCTTCACCTTTATGATTGCTGAGCTCTAGAAGGGTAGAATGAGCAGAGATAATACCATAATATATAGCGGAACTTCCGCGCCAGCTACTGCGACCACTACAGTTAAGTACTAACTCAACAAACGAGTAACCAACTGTCAAAGAGAAGGGGCACTGCTTAGCCTCACGCCATATTACAGCTCGGTGAGAAATCATCCTGATCCCATTTTTTCAGAGTCCAAAGACGATTTCATGGATGCGAACCATGCTAGTAGTTTCTACAACGCTAAGCTTGAGAAAATTGCTTCACGAAGGTTATATTCCCTGGGAAAATTGCGAGGAATCGACAGACGGCCTATTCGGTGAAGATGGAGTGGCAGAATAATCGCCTGAAGGATAGATTGGTAGTGTTCTAGAAGCTTCCAGCGAAGAGAAATATAGTGGAGCGACTAGTAGCGCTGGAGCAACGACTTCGTTCCTCGACTCGAAAAACTGTGGATTGTTCCTCCCCGTCGATATCACCATTGACACAGGAATTGAGGAGAGTGGGGGGCTTAGTGACGCGATGCCCGCCTGCCACATGTACCGTATTATGATCAGGTTCCATATAGGCCTACCAGGCCAGGTCTCAGTCTTAATGCGAACAGGGAGAGTAAAACTGCAAATCGAGCTTAGGTGCCCGTCCAGATTTGTGCATTGGCCAGGAGCACTAGAAAGTGCTGAGAAGGCTAGGAGCCTCGGAATATTGGCGCAGTGCTCACTGGTTAAATGTCACGCAGCCAGCGAGCGGCTCAATAACCTGAGAGTGGGCAGAGGGTTGAAGCTTGCCCGGCTCAGCTACCTGTTGCCGTATGGCCACTGATTTCGAGAGAAAATGTTTCGCTAATGAAGGGAAAACCAGGTCCAAAACGCCTAGGGACTTGATATATCGATGATCATCGTAGGCGTCGCGACTAAGAGAGTTGATGGTCATGTATTGCCCTAGTCCGTTCTGCCCTACCAGATTCTACTCGAAAGGAAGTAGGACTGAAGAACGTCATGCCAACTTCGACCATTAGCGAATCGGATTCATGAAGAAAGAAAGTTTCTTCTTTGCTTGTCATCGTCAATGTCTAAATAGCCCCTGACACTGAGCGAAGAGAAATTGGTCGGTCTTCTCGTGCTGACCAATTCCTTTAGAGATGCGCCACGTATTGCACTTCACTCAGAAACGTAGTGAATTTTGAGTGTGACTTGACCTACAAATAGCTCGCGGAGAAAGGCGATATACAAGACAGTGCTTTTATAAGTCCGGGCGAGTCTGGTACCAGTTAAGCGGTCTTGGAGGTACAGGAGGCGACGAGATTCGACCAGAGTTTGCGCGTGATAAGTGGCACCACCTGCTACGACACCATCTCCGGTTCTGTGATAAGTGCTAACTGGCACTAAACACGGTGTTCTAGAAGAATCGGGAGTCGGACCCGCTTCAAAATTAACCTATCTACCTTCATTCACTTTTCTCCGTGGGAAACATTCAGAACAGTCCGAAGTGGTTCGCGAGGATTAAGAGAAGTGTTTTACGTATTTTTCAGAATTAGTCAATTACTTCGAATACTTGGCTGTCAGGTAGGGAGGGGGACAAGGTTTTTGGTTTTTTCTTTGGGTCTTTTTGGATTTTTCGCGTCACAAGTACGCGACAGTTCTGCCGGTCGTGTGAACCAGTCGGTCGACAAACTAGGCCACAAGTTGCCAGAAAACCAATCGTGAAAAGCGGTTCATTCTTTGAAATAGCACCAGCGACTCCCTTCGTGGAGGTTTGTAAGAAAGGTCAGCTCCCCTTCGAAAATATTTCGACCTGTTCAGGAATGCTTCACCAGCAAGGCGCTCAGAATAATTCCAAAGAAGCGGAAGGAGCGTTTATCCCGGGGGAATGCCGAAAGGGAGCGTTGTATCGGGCTAAGGTCCAAGCCACTGAGAACGGGATGTTATCACCTTTAATCATCGCCACATCTTTGCTCCAAGCTACAAAATGCGAAAGGATCTGTGGAAATAGAATAGTACGTTACTTAACGGATCACAGGTGAATCGCTCGTCTTTGGGTGAATAATCCTGCTCAATTGAAATATTAGCTATACAGTTATTCCACGTAGTACTGTAATAGGTACCATGTACTAGGGAGGCGCTGATTACCGTTTCCCGCGACCATTTTTTCTGCGAGATACCGTAGGACAGGCTCTCCCTCACTGCTCCATTTTTTTCGAACTCGATTTCGCCCCGCCCACAAGAAGCCGTAGCGACCGCCCATTTTGACTCAATCGCATGAGCTCTTGTACCCCTTAGTAACGCTCATATGCTCACCTCAAAAGTGGGCGTAGCGTTCCGTGAAACGTATAGAGGTAGACCAGTAGGTGGTTCTATTGGTGCTGACGATCCAGGTGGCATAGACCATGACGACTTTTTGCTCACGGTGACAACTGAAAAAGAAAGAATCAGTTTGGCAATTGGTTTTTCCTTTTAATTATTTTCCCCTATTTGTTAAGGTTTGTAATAGTAATAATAGCTGCCAAGTATTGGAAAAATGGACCTGAGTGGCTCGTTACCCTCGAAAGAGTCCCGAGATGTGAGCACTGTGTGTAATCTGCGCCAACAAAGTTGAACAACCATGTTCCTTACCAGATTGGCTTTTCAATACTTTGAAAGTAGCAGCACGAAAAGGAAAAAGGCAGTGAGAGGAACTACAGAAGCATGTGCGAAAATGCTCACATGCCTTGACTCACTGCAGATACTCGCATTGGCAGTATATGGATTTTGACGCCTTTTTCGTTTCTTCCTGCCCTTCCCCCTCCCAACTGTCTTTTATCTCTTCACCAAACATTCATTCCTCATGGACCACTCCTCCTATTCATCCGATCGTAGCACAACAGCATTTCAGCATCGGATGCAGGCTTAATTGCCTTCTTAGGGGTTACTCAGAACGTGACATTAAATTTCGAACCCTTAGAACAGATATGTCCAGAAGTCCGACCCGGAGGTAGTTTAGCTCTCTCAGGACAGATACCGCATCCCTTCGGCGAGAATACGATCTTACCAAAGCTGGCCAAAGTTAAAAGGTTAGAGTACAGTGGACCAGTAGCCCGTATTAACTAGTGCACGCCTTTTGAGTTTCGAAGCTCTATTAGCCTTGCGTTTTGGACTTCATTTCATCCAAGGTCAATACTCAGCGAGACTAGCTTTCGAGAGTTGATGTGCGAGGGGTGTTCAATGTACTCTCGTTATAAGTATGAAGAAAAAGGCAGAAAATTCTGACTAAAATCTATTTTTCAATGTAGACCCCAGAAAATCAATACACTCATTTGCTAGGGGGAAAGTAACTTTCCAATACCCTCAAGAATATTTTCTCTTTGTCACCATGAATGTGGTTAATTGCCGCCCTCCGACGTCAATGCGTAGAACGCGCAGGAACGCAACAGCTCCGGTAAGCAGAAGATGCGGGTTCGAATCCCGTCCGTGGTCCGACTTTTGCCCACAACTCAGCATTCTTGTGATAACTTTCTTTTCACTTTTCTTAATTTTTTTGAACAGTAATCATTTTCTCAATATTGTCGTATCAGTCATTCTGGTCTTCTTT